ACTCAGTGCTAGAGCGCTTATCTACGATGCAGGAGGCCCTGGGTTGCACCCCCAGCACTGTAAAATAGGAATATAGCAGCACTACCTAAACTAATATGGAATGATTTCTAAATTGTCTTATTGAAAACTGAGGGCCCAGGGAGATAGCTCAGTAGAATAAGTGCTTGCCTCTCAAGCTCAAGGTCCTGAGTTCAATCCCCAGTACCACAAAAAAAAAAAAGAAAAGAAAACTGATTCAGACTCAGAGCTTCAAGGCAACCAGTTTCCTCTGAAATGCTGCATCATACATTCCCAGTTGTTTCCCTCAAAGGACAAGGGGATCATCTGCTAAGGGTTGCTCATGGGAAGCTAAAAGTCTATGGCCCTTCTGACCTGGCTCCCAAGTTGCAAAGATGAGATTTAGTGACCAGAGAAAGCCCAGGAAAGAGTTCCAGGGATTGGCCAGGCATGTGCAGGGGTGGTAAGGACAAGAATGTCTGCACACGGGGAACACTGGTCCCTTGATGCCCCTGGGAGACAGGCACGTAATTCTTAAGTATGACCTGCACTCTCAGGGAGAGACGGAGAAATTGAGATAAATCCATTTGGAAAAGTGGAATATGCTGAAACACGTATGCACCGTGAGGTGCAATTCCAGGGCATTTGCTTTTTCTTCCTACCATTCTCTAAAGAATCTGTCTGATCTCCAGAAGTCCTAACCTTGCCTCCAACGTGCCCGAGAACTCTCCCCGCTCTAGACAAGAGCTGCCTTTGATCAGAAGCTGGGCAAGACTTCTAACTGGCGACAGCCCAGCCCTGCCTCACTCCCGGGAGCCAGGCCAACCCGGCAAGTGAGATGTTCTGCGGGGACAGGTGTCGTAGGTTGGGTCCACAGAGCAGTCAGGGCCCCAGGCAAGGCTTCCAGTACAAGGGACTTAGTGTGGGAGGAAGCTGTACAAGAGTGAAACAAGCAAGAAAGATAAAGGGAAGAAATCCCGCCAGGAGGTGGTTTCGGGCAAAATCTGGACTCGCCCTGATCACACCAGGGCTCCAGAGTGGGATTACGGGAATGGTTTGCCCCAGGTAGTTGGCAATGAGAGACTGTTCCACCCAGATTTGCAGCCTATTTTGCAAGGCATCGTTCAGCCTAGTTCTACTATTCGCTTTGATTGATGAACTTGAGGTAATAACACTCCGCCTCTCCTGTGTCCTACATGCTCGGGTTAACCGTAGTGATCCCAATAACCCTTGTCGTCTCTTGTCATATGTTTGAGAACACTGAGTCCTGTTGAGACAGTAGTAAAGCAAAATGCGAGATCACGAGAGGAGATCCTC